TTGCAGTGCAGACTGGCTCCCCGCGAGCCCAGCCTAGGGCCTCTGGCCCCTCCGCTTGGCCCCACCTGCTGACTGTCACCGCCTGCCCCCGGAAGCGAGAGGGGAGCAAGTGGAAAGGACATCTGGCTTCCTGCAACAGCAGGTACAATATCGGGACGGGGACTGAGCACAGTAGGACACAGGACACAGAGACGGGGGGTTCAGCAACTAAGCTGGGGTCACCCAGCTGGGCCTTGGGGCTTGCCACCCCACGGGTGACCCTGAAGGCAACCTTTCTCATGCAGAGAGCCCTTGGGGTGTTTCCGTGGGGGGCCCCGGGGTTCCCTCCCCTATGCCAGGCCTTCCATTTTCCAGGTGAGAACTTGATGCCTTGGTGGGGGGGACAGGGTCCGATTTAGAGCCAGGCCTGACAACCCCCCCATCACCCCAGGGTTCCCCTGACACCTGCAGGGTGCGTTGGGTGGAGTAGATGGGCCTCCAGCTGGCATGGTGGCTGGGAGCCACAGGGCCGTGGGATCAGGGAAGGCTTCCTGGAGGAGACAGCGGACTCGAGGTGTGGAAGCCTGGGTGAGCAGCCTAGGAGGCTGAGGCCAGGAGCCACCCTCACAGGGCCTTGAACACTGTGCAAGGTGCCGGGACCGGATCCGGCCCAAGGGCGGCAGGCTCCTGGGCAGGGGTGACCTCGTAGGTCTCCTTCCTGCACCACTTCCTGCCCCAGCCAGCCTTGGAGGAGGGCTCCGCCCCAGAGCACCTGGTGCAGGTGTGGCCAGAGGTGGACGGGAGGGGGGCAGGAGGGGGAGCGTGGTGAGGGCAGTGTTTCCTTCTGACCCCAACCTCCCTGACCCCTGCAGGTGGGGAGGCCCCTCCCCCCCCCAGCCGGGCATCACAGGCCTCCCAGAGCTTGGTTGAGATGCTCCAGGAGAAGCCCGCGTGGTCGGGGCCCTTCCCAGGAGGGACCTGAGGCCCCCGATGGGTAGGGGGCCCCCTCTCCAGTCCTCCAGCACCCCAACAGTCTGATGGCCCTCTGTGTACCCTCTGACCTCTTGCTTTTGCCCAAGCTACTCCTCCACCTGGAAGGCTTCCCTGCCCTCCCATCTTTGGGACTTTGGGCCAGCCCTCCACAGGAAACCCTCCTGGAGGGGAGGGTGGAGGGTGGGGGCTCCTCTGGAGGGAGGGGTGGGGCTGCAGGGCAGGGGTGGGGCTGCAGGGGGAGTGTGGGCTGCGCTCCCATCTGCGCCTCCGGCACCACCCGACAGCCCAGCACAGAGCCTCATCCATCTCTCTGGGGGCTGAGGGAACGTCACCGAGCCCTGCCAAGGCCTGCAGGGTGAGGCCGCCTCTCACCCTGGCCTGCAGCGCCTGCCTATCCCACCCCTGACCTGGGCCCTCGCAACCCACCCGGTGTTCTGGGCGCCAACCTGGAATCGGTTTCCACCGGTCCTCCCAGCCAGGAAGGGCTGTCCCCTCCTCCAGGGAGCCCACCCAGTTACCCTGGTGGGTCTGGGCCCGTCCCTGTCACCCCGCCCCTGGTGCTGGTCAAACAGGGCTTAGCTAGAGTTGTGGAGCGGTTTCCTCACCGGAGATGCTGGGTGTCATCTCTGTCTAGCGCCGAGGCACCTGGGTCCCCACCTGAAGGGTCATCCAGGGTGCTCAGAGCCTGGCTTCTCAGAGCCTCTGTGATGCTCGCTCTCGTACCCTGGGAATCTTCCAGAGCAGGGAGTCCTTTGCCTCTGTCCTCCCCACCCAGCCTGGTGGCCGCACCAAGCGGCGGGGGCTGCACTCCCCTGCTTCGGCTCTCAGCTCGCTGGTCTGTGCCCCGTGCCCCACACGCATGCAAGGTCAGGAGCTGGGACCTGCCCGCGGACCCCAGGGGGTCCCCTCCTTGGCCAAGGTGGGCGTGTCCTGCCATCTTGGCTCCTGCCCAGGCTGCCCTTGACCCCTGGGGACAGCAACCCTGCAGCCCACTGCCTGCGGCCGGCCATGTAGGGCACGGGGGCAGGTGGCAGCCCGGAGCTTGGTCTGTGCGGGGTCAGGGGGAGAGGGGCAGGCATGGAGGGCAGGCCCAGTCTGTCCCTGACCGAGGTGCCAAGAGCATCTGTGGTGGCCCAGGCACCTTCAGGATGCCTGAAAGCCACTCAGCAGCTTACAGATGAGGGAGCAGAGGCCCCGAGAAGTGAGCAACGTGCCCTGGGTCGCACAGCATAAAGTTGGCGGAGCTGGGAATCAAACCCAGGTCCACTGCTTCGGGTGCAGGCAGGAGAGGGACCAGGGTCGGCGGCTGGCATCTGTGGACCTGGGGCTTGTGCACCAGGGCACTGCCGGGGCGTACGTACCTGTGCATGCCCATGCTGCTGGGGGGTGACCCTCATAGCCTCCCGAGGCCAAAATAGCCATTATTGGGGGAACCATCTGCCTGTTTATTTTTACGATTATTCTTGGTTTCACGGCATCTGCTTTAGAACATCGCCTGCTGTTTTTGGCTGGTCTGAGCCTCTCTGCTTATTCCATCCAGGGACTGCTGGGTCCCCACTGAGGTCCCCGACAGGGGCCAGCCTGGCCCTGGGTCCCCTAGCAGGTCCCAGGTGGCGGCAGCAGCCGGAATCTAGGTTCCTATCCGGGCCTGGCTTCCTCCACCCGGCTCAGGGACAGGGGTCACTGGAGGGGGTGGGTGGAGCGCTGTTGAGAAGGGCACCTGGTCGCCATCGGACCTGACCCTGCTCACAGGCCACCATCTGCGTGGTCTCTCTGGGAGGGGCGGCTCCAGGCCGGGCTGCCCGTGGAGGTCCCGCCGGTGCTCACAACCCTGGGGTGCCCACAGCGGCGTGAACCACTCCTGCTTCCCTGGGGGCAGATCCTCAGGCGGGCACTCGTGGCCCTTGCACCTGCTCTTCCCTCTGCCCAGCAAGTGTCTCTGCCCGTGTCACCTGCTGCAGGCCCCTGGTCCCCAGCTCACAGGGTCCTCCCTCAGCCCCTGCACTCCCCTCCAGTGAGGGAGAGCTGTGATCCCGCAGTTCAGGGCTCCCCCCCCAGACCACTCCTCCTAGTTCCTCCTAGGCTCCTGCTGACTCCTCCCGAGATGCTCCTGTTCTGCGTTGCCGTTGCTGTTGCTGGTGAGGACGCTGGTTTCCAGGATGGTAGGCGGTGTGTCCGGGTCACTCGGGGGTGGGGTGGGGGTGGAGAGGCTGCGATTTGAGCTGTGCTCCGTGGAGCCTCCTGCCTACCCCAGGCCACCAAAGGCTGACTGCAGCCCCCTGTGCAGACGGGGGATTGGAGCCCCGGGTTGGGGGGCCAGCAGCTCGCCCCAGGCCCCACAGCCCTGCATCGGGGTCCAACTTGCGGGTAGGACCCTGAGCTTTGGGGTGGGGGGTCACACCTGACCTCGAAGCCCCAGTGGAGCAGGTGCAGAGGGCACAGAGGATCCCAGGCGGGGCTGGCTCCACCATACGGAGCTCCGGCTGGGGATGAGGTTGGGGGTGTGGGTAAGAAAGTGGCTTGGGAGTGACGGGCGCAGGAGGGGCCCCAGAGGACCTGGGGAGCAGGGCTTCGGGGCAGTGGAGGAGCCGGGACCCTCGAGAGGCCCGAGGGTCAGCTTGGGCTCCGCTCGCTGCAGGGCAGCACCCTGGCGGGGGGTGGGGGGGGCGGGGCGGGGCCAGTGGGCTCAGCCGGGGTGTCCTCAGGGGCATCCTCATCCTCCTACCTCAGGGCACCTCCACAGGGAAGCCCTCCCAGATCGCCCAGCCCCCCCAGCCACCTTCTCTGTCCGCCTTGCTTTGTCTTTCCGCTGCCCTCCCACCACCTGGCGGCTGGCTGTCATTCCCTTTCCTGTGTCCCGTCTTCCCCTGCGGGGCTGGCGGTCCCAGGAGGGCAGGGCCTGGGCTGGCTGCATGACCCGATGGCCCCTTTGGGCCTTGGTTCTGTCTCCCGTGAAGTGGGCGTGTGGAGACGCACCCCCTCACATCAGGTGCCCTGGGACGGCCGAGAGCCACGTGCAGGTGCTCGGAGAACCCCCCTCCCACACACACCAGGGCTCCAGGGGCAGCAGCCCCCCCACCCCCCACCCCTGTTTTTGCCAAGGCTCAGAGAGGGGCGGCGACTTGCCCACGGCCACTGGGCGGGGAAGCCGTCAGAGGGGAGGGGGCACCCCAGGCACCCCACCAGCTGGGGGTGGCCACGCGGGGGCCAGTGGGCAGGCCCAGCCGCCGCCCGAGGGCCGCGAGCTCCCCCACCACCCCTCCAGCCCTCCAGCCCCGGCGTGCCGAGGTTGCACAGCTGCTCCTTGTCTGTCCCTCCGGCACCCTGGCCACAGGCCAGTTCCCAACCCGCCCGCCCCCCTCGGGACCCTGTTCCCGCAGCCCTTCTCCCAGGGCGCTTGCCGCGGCCCGAGCCAGGCAGGGGCAGTGCCAGCTCCGGGGCTTACGCGGGGGACGGGGGGCCAGCTGCCCCGGGCCTCAGGTTCCCCACGGGGAGCCCGAGCCCTCGAAGCCGCACCCCTGCCCTGCCCCAGCCCCGGAGGCCAGCGGCCCAATGCTGCTCAGCACCGGGCCTCCCGGGGCCTGGCCTCCGCCGCCCCCTGTGCCTCGACAGGTGTGAAAACTGAGGCACAGCTTTGGGCGCCCGTGGCCCAGCAGCGAGATGCTGAATGAATGAGCGCGCGGATGAATGAAATCCAGGGAAGGGGGCGTGGGAGCAGCACGGGTGGGGTTCTGGGGTCAGGAGGGAGGTCCCCACAGCCCCCCGGAGCCCCCGCTCCCCTCTCTCCACCCAGCCCGGCCAGCTGCCAGCAGCCACCTCGCCCGCGCCCTCCGGTCTCGGTTTTTCCATCTGTACAATGGCCCCCTGCGGGGTGCGACCTCGAGGCCCCTCTCAGGCTCTGGCCTCCCCCCTCCCCAGGTCCGGGGGCAGGTCCTCAGCCCCTCGGCCCCCGCGGCCCCTGTGCTGCCTGCCCTGCTGGGGACTGAGGACGCTCGGGCACCGTCAGGCTCTCGGGGGACTCACCGCACCTTCGCCTGCTCCGCGGCTGGAGACAGAGGCGGCGCAGCTGAGCCCGGCGACCTCCTCGGGGCAGCTCTGCGGGCCACTCGGTCCGCGCCCGACCCGCCTTCCTGGGGCCTGACGTCAGGCCCGCGCCGGGGCTCCTTTTGGGCAAAGCGGAGGGGTGGGGGCGGGGTGGGGGCGGGGCGGGCTCCTTTCCCGGGCCGGCCCCCTGGAGGAGCCTGTTTCCAAGGCCTGGGGGAGGGAGCCAGGGGCAGCAGCGGGCAGCTCGCCCCCGCTCAGACAGAAGAGGAAACTGAGGCACGGGGGCGCAGAGCCAAAGCTGCAGCACCCGGGTTGGGGGGCGCCGAGCTGGGGCTGGCTCTGGGTCCTCCTAGTGCCCGGTCTGGGGGAGGATGCAGGCCCCCCCCAGAGTGCAGGGCGCTCCCGTGTGACAGGGGAGGGGGACTGTTCCTCCCACGTCTGCCCACCGTGGCTCTGCGGGCTCGTGAACTGCTCTCTGGGTTTTCTGTGTTTGGCGTGTTCTGAGCCTGGGTGTGTCTGTGCACCCGGGACCTGGGCCCGCACCCTAGCATCTGGCCCCTGTGGGTGCCCCTCCCGCATGTCCCTGGGGCGGATGTGGCTTCCCAGGGGCGCAAGCATGCCGGGTGTGTTGGTGGGGCCAGCACCAGCCCGGGGCCCCTACGGGACCTGCTGTGACCCTTGCAAGCGCTACCACCCCGTGGGGACATGTGGGGTCGGGTGCATGGGAAAGACCTGGAGGTGACCAGGGCCCCCGGGATGGGGCAGCGGGTTGAAAATCTCGGTAGCCAGGCCTGATCTGGGAGTGGTGGCCGGGAGGGACAGGGTGGCGGCCCGTGGGCAGCCTGGGCCAGTCGGGGTTTCGCGGTTGGAGGGGGGCCGCGTGCGGGGCAGGGGGAGCTCAGGGGTGGCTCTGGGCTGTCCCCTCTCCAGGAGTGCCCTGTCCAGTCTCCCATCCCCGTGCTGCTCCTCACTCATGCGGGCGGGGGGGGGGGCACCCAGCACCCTCCCCCAGGCACCGACTGAGCTGGTGCGTGCTGGGCACTGAGAACAGAGACGCTGCTGCCTGAGACCAGGCCCCGGGCCCTGAGATCTTAGTCTGGGGGGGCCACCAGGGCAGCCAACAACCAGCTGGGGAAGGGTGCGGCCGGGAGGGCAAGGTGGGCAGAGGGCCGACAGGTCAGGGTCCCCGGACCAGAGGGCGGGGATACGCAGTGGAGCAGGGAGTGACCTGAGCCCGTCCACTCCGGGGCTTAGCTGCCCTGTGGGAACCAGAGTGGTGGACTGGGCCTGAGGGCAGTGGGGAGCCATCGAAGATTCTGGGGGAGGGTGGTTCCCGGAGCAGCTTCCCTGCTATTTCGGGGCCCAGCCCACAGGCTACCATTGCTCTTCTTAGAAGCCTGTGCTCTGTGTCTTGGGAGGGGAAGCGGGGCCCAGGAAGGCGATGGAGTCTCTGGCCCAGGGCGGCCCGGCCCCAGGCTAGCAAGGCGGGGCACCCAGGATCTTGCCGAGGGAGTGTCCAGGCCCTGTTGTTTCTGTACAGGGCAGCCTGGAGCCGCCAGGATGTGGGCGGGGGCCGGAGGGCTGAGCCAGTGGAGGCTCGAATTTTATGAGCTAGAGCCTGCCGCTGAGTCACGGGCAGGCCGGCCAGGCACAGGCTGGTTCCCAAAGACATCCTGGGGGGACCCTCTAGAGCAAAACACACGCCCACGGGCTGCCTGGGGAGCAGCCAGGGTGGGCTTCCGGGACCCCTCCCCCAGGGAGGCTCCTCTCTGGAGGCCCAGGGCTCCTGGGGGCGGTGGCGGGAAGGCGCTGGAGCCCATGAGGCTCCGGGGACCCCCCCATAGCCCTCAGGGGAGACCGGAGTTCAGGCACAGTCACCTCCACGGGTTGGCTCAGGCCAGGCTGTCCCTGGCTGCGGTCAGGGCATGGCCACCCCTCCTGGAGCCCCTCCCTGAGCCCGCAGGAGCCCCCCACTCTCTCAGCTGCACTGTGAACTCCTATAGCGCTGTCCCCAGGGCTCACAGCGATCCTCACCATGCGCGGCTTGTTCTGCCACAGGGACCAGAGTCTGCCATTAGGAGCGATTCAGCCACAAATAGCAGCCGAGCCACTGAGGGGGGGCTGGGGGGCAGGCAGGGGACACTCAGTGACAGCCAGGCAGGTCCCGTCACCGTGCTGGTGCCTGCGGCTCCAGACCTCATTCATCGTCCCCAGTGGCCCTTGTCTTGGTGTCACTCGAGGGTGTAAACAGCGCTGGGGCCCTGGCAGCGTGTCCTGCAGGCTGCCTGGGGTGAGCGGCTAGGGTGGGGGCCGCAGGCCAGCTCTGCAGGAGGACCCGAGCTGCTGGGAGCGCGGGGGGTGTCCCTGGAGATCACCTGGGGAAGACAGGAACAGGAGCTGAGGGGCTCCTAAGGGGTCATTGGCCACGTGTCCCTTCCATGCTCTGGACCCGCTGGTGGGGGGCAAGTCATCCACAGTGAGGGCAGGGTGGGTGGGGCCTTTCTCCCTCTCTGGGAAAGGTGGCCTCGAGGGAGGAGCGTCCCAGGCGGGGGTGTTGGGAGGCTGGGAAGGGGGAGGCCCCTGGGCAGCCCTGGCTTTGAGCCTGGCTGGACCAGTCGCTTATAGGGGCCAGGGACCATGGCCCTTCGTGTATTCCCAGAAAGTGGGGACAACACAGCCGGTGGAAGGCCCCGGGCCAGGTGCCCCTTCTCTCAGGAAGCACTTGGTCCTGTGTCACAGGGATGCTCATCTCCAGCATCCCCAGCATCTCCAGTATCCCCGGCAACCCCAGCATCCCCGGCAACACCAGTATCCCCGGCAACCCCGGCATCCCTGGCAACCCCAGCATCCCCGGCAACACCAGTATCCCCAGCATCCCCAGCATCCCCAGCAACCCCAGCATCCCTGGCAACACCAGTATCCCCAGCAACTCCAGCATCCCTGGCAACCCCAGCATCCCCAGTATCCCTGGCAACCCCAGCATCTCCAGCATCCCCAGCATCCCCAGTATCCCCGGCAACCCCAGCATCTCCGGCAACACCAGTATCCCCAGCAACCCCAGTATCCCCGGCAACCCCGGCATCCCTGGCAACCCCAGCATCCCCGGCAACACCAGTATCCCCAGCATCCCCAGCATCCCCGGCAACCCCAGCAACTCCAGCATCCCTGGCAAACCCAGCATCTCCAGCATCCCCAGCATCCCCAGTATCCCCAGCAACCCCGGCATCCCCAGCATCCCCAGCAACCCCAGCATCCCCAGTATCCCCAGCATCCCCGGCAACACCAGCATCCCCAGTATCCCCAGCATCCCCGGCAACCCCAGCATCCCCGGCAACACCAGCATCCCAGCATTCCCAGCAGAGTGGAATACCTGGAGACACCAGGGCAGGCCCTCTAGAGGGAATGAGGCTCAGGTGAGGCAGAGTCTACAAGAGCGTGAGGACGGGTGGGCTGGGAGACACTCCAGAAGGGGTGGGGCTGACTTGGGCTGCAGAACTAGACCTCGGCCACCTCGTCCCCCCTCGTGGAGGGAGAGGCGTCTGGGCACTTAGCAAGGGCCTAGTGCATAGTGACCTTGGGAACGTGCTACACAGCTCTGGGGCCATCCCGGAGATGACTCCTGGGACCACCACCCTGGGTATTACCCCCCAAGTCCCTGGACCACTCTCTATGCCATGTTTGTCGCCCAGGGGCCTCAGAGCTCATCTTGTCCCACCTTTGATTTTTTAGAGGTGGAGAAACTGAAGTCCGGGGAGGGCTAGAGACCTGCCCAAAGCCACACAGCGAATGGGTCACTGCAGATGCCGGTGGGGACCCGGCCGGGGCTTCCAGGCCACCCTCAGCAGCCACAAGGCAGCCCCGACTCTTGGGCCCATAGCCCTCTGAGGGGCCAGGCCAGGGTTGTTCCGACCTCCCGTTAAACTCAACTTCTGGGACTGTGAGAACAGCCTGCCTTGTGGGTTCGTGAGACTGTGGGCCTGGTTCTTGGTGGGCCTAGGGTGGGACGTGGGGCTGGGGGGCTTTGGTGCTGGCAGAGGTCCTGAGGCCCGGAGGAATGGCAAGGAGGTACAGAGGCGCTGGGCTGAGGTGGGGGCCCGGGTCTGCAAGGGGAGGGTCCAATCCAGGAGGGCTTGCTGGAGGAGTCTCACCCCGCTTCAGCCCCCGTGTGCATGCACACATGTGACACACAGATGTGCACACACAGATGCGCATGCACGCTGCTCTCCAGCCAACATCGAGTCCTCTTGGGAGCCCACGCCAGCCCCTCCCATTCATCCAGCTGGGCCATGGCACTGGGTGGAAGGGGCACCTCGAAGCAGGAGGAGATGGCTCGGGGTCACCGAGTCTCCCCTGAGCCAGATCTGGCCTACCCGAGGGCAGCAGCTCCTCAGGGGACCCACGGGCATCCCATGGTTCACACGTGGCTCAGCCTTGACCGTGGAGCCCACGGTGTTGGCCTCGCCTCTTACAGGGGAGCAAACCAAGGCCAGGAGTGGGGCCCTGCTCTCCAGCCTCAGACGTGGCCTCCGCCCCTCGGCCTCCCCGTGTCCAGGCAGGTGCTCCCCTGGTGGCCTGGCCCCTCACCTGCCACTGGCCAGTCGGGGTGGGGGTGCATACTGGCGGCTTCCGGGCCCACAGAGCCCATCCAGGGCCAGCTCCAGAGATGCTGGGAGGGTGGCAGGTCTCCCCCTGGGGGCAGAGAGGACGGTTTGCCCGGGGGCCACCCGGGTGCCCCGCCACAGCCTGTGCCTGCACGGCTCATTTCATCTGCCCCATCCCTGCAGGGCAGGAAGGCCGGGCCCCTCACCTCCCCTGGGCTCCACGGCTCTCTGAGGTCTCAGGATGGGGACCTTCCGGGCCTGGGGCTGAGGAGAGAGCAGAACCAACCTCTGGGCCTGTCCAGTGCAGGGGCTGTGGGGCGATGCGGGGACAGGTGTAGGGAGTCCCTTCCGGGGCCTGAGCCCTGGCACCTCCCCACAGCCTCCTGTGGCCTGGGGACGTATGGGGGGTCCCTGCTTATCCCTACTGAGTCCTGGGCACTGCCAGGTGG